GGGGCGGGGAGGCGGGGCCGACGCACCTGCCCGCGCACCTGCCCGCGCACCTGCCCGCTCACCTGCCAGCTCACCTGCCACGTCCTCCTGCCTCTAGTACTCCGGGGCGGGGGAGGGGGGGAGACCTTGGCTTCCTCCCCACCTGCCCAGGGGTGTCATGGGGCCTGCAGGGTGCGCTCTGAGCTAGGCCGCAGGTCCTGCACAGGCTCACCTGGACTAAATCCTGGGCCCGCTTCAGGCAGGTGAAACTGTCGGGTTGAAGGTGGGGGTGGGGCTCGAGAATGGAATGAACGTGAACTTGTTCGGAGGCTCCCTCCTCATCTTCAGGTATTTAGTCACATGGCCCCAGATCAATGACCACCTCAGGGATGTCTCTGTCCACCGAGGCTGCGAATCCCAGAACGCGCGCACTCCCCCTCCCCGCTTTTTCTCAACTGTGGAACGTCCCCGCAGGTTGACACTAACAGCACTCCCCCTGTTCACCTCACCATGTTCACCGTCTCCCCCAGAAGCCAAGCTCTAGGAAGGCATTGTTCTTGTCCCCCGGGGATAGAACCGTTTTGCTGGATGAGAGCTGCCCCCATGGAAGAGGCGTGACCTTAGGTGACAATTTTTCTTGGGCCCTCCCCAAAGAGGGCTGACAGCTGAGGGCAGTCCCAGAGTGGCAGGCCCAGCAGCCTATCCTGCAGTACATCACAGCCCCAGGACAGTATGGATGAGGGGACTTAAAAAAGTTGGTAGAAAAAAATAGAATAAAAGTACAAGTTTACTTTTGGTGCCAAACATTTTGAAATCTATGCCTAGTCCTTTTCGTAATATGCATTTTCCATGGACTTTTTGAAGACCTCTTGTTTGTTGAAAACAGTTTTAATGTTATTTTATGTTGTCATTTATTTCCTGCATGAGAGATGGAAGGGGCATGCACTCTCCAGAGAGAAAAAGAGGGTGCATCCTAAACGGGATCTTGACGCCAGGACTCACCCCCAGCCTGACGTAGCCCTGGACCATAGGCATACATACACCCGGAGTACTAGGGGAGGTCTTCAGACGGAAATCGGGAACCCTTCCGTGTGGGTCAGCCTCGGCAGACTGTGTTTTACCACTGCACCACTGTCAGGCCCCCTGCAGGATAATTTTAATCTATGCCTAAGCACGGTTCCTTGCCCTGTTTGCATAGACACTCCAGAGGTGGTTAGCTGGCATTTAATAATAATTTTAAAAAGCCACACTCCAGAAGCTATTAATCCATGCACTTCAACCACCTGAGATCAACAGAAGGAGCTCCATTAATTAAGTTTATAAATATTTGAATAGCTTTTCACTAACAAATTAGTGGTGCCCAAACCACACAGATTGGGTGTAATTATTTTGGAAGCATTTCCTGTCTTGTTTGAACAGGATAGAAGAATCTAGAGCTTCCAGCAGTCCAAATCCTTTGGAAGGGTGCTATCGGCTTTGCTCCAAAATAGTTGAGTGTTTTGGAGCAAACTGATTTGCCAGGAATGCAATAAACGTTTCCTACATGGTTTGCTCAGGGCACCTAATTTGGCTGTAAATGGGAGGGGAGCTGCTTGCCAACACGTGTCTGACTATGTAGCAGAATTTGGTCTAGGACATGTTTTCATCGTGAGGGAGAAATATTGCTTCGGTTGGGACCAGCAGTTGGCATAATGGCTGTGTCACTGGACTCATGTTATCAACCGCAGTTCGAGTCCCAGACCCAGTGGCTTAAAATCACGTCAGGCATGTGTTCGTGTGTGCCCAAGATCCCGAGAGGAGAATGGAGGAGAAGGGATTGCGGTGTGGCCATCCCCCCTGGGGGGTGATTTCTCGCTTTCTGTCTCTCTGTCTCTCTCTGTCTTCCTGTCTCTCTGTCTTTCTGGCACACATCCTATAGCAAAATCCTCTCCAAAAAAAAAAAAAAAAGAAAAAGAAAAGAAAAGAAATATAAGGCCCAGGGCCCTCACCTAACCTTAACATCTGTTAAAAGCTACAAATATTTCTTCTAAAGCCTACATTGTGAGGTTGGCCCCAGAGCTTAGTGGTTAGGGTAAGCCAGATTCCACACAGCTGATTCTTGTTCAAATCTCAGCCCAGATGGCTTGAAAAAAATGCTGGGTGCATGTGCATGCGCGTCCAAGGTCTCAACAGGAGGGAGAAATGGAGGAAGATCATGCTTTCTCCCTCTCCCTCTCTCTGTCTCTCTCTCTCTCTGGAGCGTGCCTGAGCCTTCTGGCAATTAAAAAAATTGCCGACACTTACTTTTTGAGCAGGTAAAAAACAAAAACAAAAACAAAACAAGATTGCGACTGCTCGACTTGATAGGAATGAGTCTGCGTCACCCCGATGGCGGCAGAAATGAAACCAAACTACTGCCAGGTAAACTCACTGAGATTCAGCGCTGCTGCCGCCACCTCAGGCTTAAAGCTGCCTCATTCCCTCTGAGGACTGTCCCTGGCCGTCTCCTCCCTGGGCTCTGCAGTGGGCAGCTTTCATAGAGGATGGCATACCCATCCGCCTGCCTCTTCTTGACCGCCCTGGCTCATCTCCGTGGGAGGCAGGCACCACCATGCTGGTGTCCAATGTGGTGCCCATGTTCGGGCCTCCAGCTGCCAGACTGCACATGGCTGCCCACCTCTGCACCCTTTCCCCAGAGACTCCCCTGGGCGTGTCTACTTCCTTGTCCCGTGGGGCACAGAGATTCTCCGTTGGCCAGCACACCTGCCCAGCACCGCAGGCGGCCCTCCTATACTCTTCTTGCCATCAAGAAAGTGCCACAGGGCTTCCTCCACTCCCAGGGCGAAAGGGCCAAAGGTGACAGGTCCACCTCTCACAGCTGGATCCCTAAACTTCAAAGGGATTCTTCTAACCCACCCCCAATCCCATGACCCACTGGGACTCTGACAAGGTAACTCAGATCCAAGCCTTTGTGTTCTCTCTGTTACTTTCCCCACTGCCCCACCCCTGCCCTGGGGACCTGTCCTGGAGGAGGAACCTGGATCTACACCACTGCCTTCCCCATTTCACACCTGGACCTAAGTTTCTGAATTCCAAGACCAAGAATGTTGATGTCTTGAATCTCTGGCTTCTCTGAAACCACCCTGCATTCCCACCCCTACTGTGGGACAGCACTGGTCAGAGCTGGCAGGAGGCGTGGTGGTTAGAGGCTGGTCTCCCATGTGGCTGACTGTGGTTCGAGTCTCAGACCTGGCAGTTTGCTTTCTCACTTTCTCTCTTTCTGTTTCTCTCCCTCTTTCTGTCTTTCTCTGGTCAAATTAAAACAAATAATAATAAATAAAAAGTTAAATAGAAAATGATTTTTTTCTCTTTTTTTTTTTTTTGGAGAGATTTTCACTGTAGGGCGCATGCGCTTGCCAGACAGACAGAGAGAGACATAGAGACAGAAAGCGAGAAATCACCCCCCAGGGGGGATGGTCACCCTGCAATCCCTTCTCCTCCATTCTCCTCTCGGGATCTTGGGCACGCACGCACACGCGCCCGGCGTGAGTTTTAAGCCACCGGGTCCAGGACACGAACCGCGGTCGACTACGTGGGAGTCCAGCGACATAGCCATTACGCTAACTGCTGGTTCCCGAAAATGATTTTTTTTAAAAAAGAAGTTAATGAGAAATGAGGAGAGGAAGGGGCAGAGGAACAGAACAAATCAGTTAATACAAGAGAGCTTCAAAAGTCCATGGAAAGTGCACGTTAGGAAAAAACTGTATGGGATTTTTAAAAAAAAAATTTGGGGAACGAGCAGTTAGCGTAATGGCTATGTCGCTGGACTCCCACGTAGTCGACCGCGGTTCGTGTCCCGGACCCGGTGGCTTAAAACTCACGCCGGGCGCGTGTGCGTGCGTGCCTAAGATCCTGAGAGGAGAATGGAGGAGAAGGGATTGCGGTGTGACCATCCCCCCTGGGGGGTGATTTCTCGCTTTCTGTCTCTATGTCTCTCTCTGTCTGTCTGGTGAGCGCACGCGCCCTACAGTGAAAATCTCTCCAAAAAAAAAAAAAATTTGCACAAAAATAAACTCATTAATTCCATTTTCCATGAACTTTTTGAAGTCCCCTATGTCACAAAACTCTTACCAGGCCTAAGTGGATTCATTGGATTCAAAGCTTATTTGCAGTGATGTGCACGTGAGAGAGAAAGAGAAAACTGAAGACAGAAGTGCACTTGACAGGGTCCCATCACACCACAATCCCTCTCCCCCAGCCCGCTGCTCATCAGGATCACAGGCTTGTGTGTCCTGCCATATTCTGGGTTGAGCAGGTTGGGGATCTGAACCTGGGGCTGCCGTGTGGCTTCCAGCATTGTGGTCTAATGTGCTACCAACCCTGCCACCTAGGCTGGGCCCTGCCCCCCAAGTTCTATTAAAATACCAATACCACTGGGTAGTGGATGAAAGCAGAAACACCTTAGTGTGCATTTATTGAATCCGACATTTTCCTCTCAACTGGGAGGAACCCCTTCCTGGGAATGGGTGAGGTGGGCAGTGGACTGGCAGCAGGAAGGGACCAGACGTGGGAAGAAGGCCGTGCCGTTGCCTTTACCTGCTTCCCATTTTCCCCAGGCCACAGGGCTCTGGCCCAAACAGCAGCTCTAATTTTGGTTTCAAGAGCCAGGTGGGGCTCTTGGGTGGGAGAAGTGAGACTTGAAAATAAACAGAGGAATGGCCATTGGTGTGAGAAGCTGACTTTGTGCATGTGCTCTCAGGCAGCTGCATCTCTTCCCGTTGGACTCGCATGGGCCTCCGTGCTCAGCCTCCTCGCACTCCCAGGCACTTGCTGGCTCCTAGTCAAGGCCGGAAGCTGCCAAGGGGTGTCAGGCCTTCTCCAGCTGTTGGAGGGAGTGTCTGGGGCTTGATCGGGTAGTGTATCACCTCTTCTGCCTGCTGCTCTTGGACCCAGCTCTTTGGCTCCCCTGCAGTCTCACTGGACGATGCCGGAGAATGTGTTGATGGGCATCTGAAGAGGTCTGGGCTTGACTTTGGCTGTTTCCACCTCCTTCTGACCTTGTGAGTTGAGCCACAGCGTCTTGGACTTCTGGGACCCAGAGCATGGCTCGGGACAGGGAAAAACCTCAAATCTGTGGTGGAGAGAGACCAGGTCAGTTGACCAATCTTCGGGATCCAATCTTTCCAGACATTAGAAAGGTAGACCCTTGGGCTGGCCAAGTAGAATTGTGGTTAAAGTAGCTGAATCCCACATGGCCAACTGCCTGGCCTGGATCTGGTGGCTTGGAAAATACAGTGGGCACGTGTGTGTGTGCATGCCCAAAATCTCGAGAGGAGAATGGAGAAGGGATTGAGGCATGGCTGTCTCCCGGGGTGGGGGTGGGGGGGTAAATTCTCACTTTCTCTCTCTCTCTCTCTCTGGTGAGAGTGTGTGCTGTCCAGCGGAAAAAGAAAGAAATAAAAGAAAGAAAGAGAAGAAAGAAAGAAAGAAAGAAAGAAAGAAAGAAAGAAAGAAAGAAAGAGAGAAAGAAAAAGACAAAGATGACATAGTAAGATAGGGGCCTTCCCCAGGATGGAGGAAGAAGCACTCCGGTGCAGGCTAACCAGGAGAGGAGGAGATGGCCGATGAGTCCCTCTGTGAATACTGTCTTTAGTAAACACGCTTCCCCAGGAAAAACAACTAAGGGGCGCATTAACCCCAGAGCCGTAGGATGGTCGGCCTGTGGGAGCAGCCAGAGGATGCGGTGGCTGGATCAGGAGGGCCGAGAGTGCGCACAGGAATTTGGGCAATGTCCTCTCGGCTGCTGCCCAGTGTCAGCCATGCCTTTGCCTCTTCATCCTGGATTCAAATCGTAGGGTGGTGGCCTAAGCCTAGGCCCACCAGGGACAACTGCCTGGCCACAGGACCTCCCTCTGACATGGCGCCCTAGCTAGAAGCAGATGGAGGACGCGCTCTTGCTCAGGTTTGCTCCTGGGGCCCAGCCCTGAGGGGCGGCCGCTCAGCCTCACCTGACCACGTCCCTGAACGTGCGCCGGCTGTCCTTGTCCAGCGACAGCGTCAGCAGCCTCTGGTCCTGGCTCTGGATCTGGATGTTGGCTGTCCGGAAGGTGTTCGTCACCATCTGCAACAGGGAGACAGGGCAGGGAGTCACCTTCGCCCAGCAGGTGGCCCTGCCACCATCTCCTACCCTGGAACCTGGTCTGTTTTCTCAACCCAGCACACAGGGCGGAGAGGCAGGCAGTTCCTGCTCTCTTCTTGCAAGTACCGCAGAGCAGGGACAGCCCTGCACACACTGCCCCCAGGCTGCCCTCGCCCCGGGTCTCAAATTGTCCCTATAGCTGTTTCCCCAATCTGTGTTTAATTCTGAACACAGACTGTGTCCACACGACTGTGCATTCCGGGTGGTAGAGGGGCCTCGGTTTGAAGGTAGATTCATTCAACAAATCTTTTCTGAGAGCACGTGATGTGTGTAAGTAGGGGGCATTTTGGGGGCTTCATAAATCCTGACCCTAGTTCTCAGCATGAAAACGCACACAAAATTATTTACCCAGGGCAAAGATAGAATGTCTAGAAAACAGCCAGGTACCCCCAAATCTCAGACCAGGCCAAAGGAAAGCAACTCCCAGGCATCCTTGTAATGCTGAATCTGAGGGGCTGCTCCAGAGAGGGCCCCCTGACCCGCTGGGCAGAGAACCTGGAGCATCCTGGGGTCCAGGCGGAGCCTTTGAGGGTCTTTCGGGGTCGCCGGCCCATTCCACACACAGATGCAGCCTCAGTATTTATAATCACAGGTCGCCGGGGCTGCTGGAGGCCCCGGAGTTCATTTCATTCACG